TGTTTAGTTCGTTCTCCTGCTGGCTCTCGCCGCCGTTGCTGGGTCGGATTTTCAACCTTCGTTCTTCAACGGTGTCCCTCGTGTTAGTATTTAAGTAAGGTATAAATATTTGTCTTTATCTGAACAGTGTTTTGAGCATTACTTTATCATTTTGGGTCAGTAGAATAGAATCATTGAAATAATTTGACGTATTAGAAGTAATTCAGCGATTGTTGTTTCTTTCAGGAATCAGATGGTTCTTCCGAAACGTCATCAGATAGGCTCACCATCTACCGTCATAACGATGTAAGTTACCTATTAAAGAAGTTGCTGGAATCGACGAGATGCTATCAGAGACAATGAAATGTACCAGAAGATCATACATTTTACTTATGTATTTATAGAAATCTGATGAAGGCTCTGCTGAATATGGACCTGCAAAGTATGACTTCGACTGGGCCGTGAACCACGACTACTGAGGCAACCACTTCGGCCACCAGGAGTCCCGCGACGGAGACTACACCCAAGGCTCGTACTACGTGCAGCTTCCCAACATTCGTTTGCAGACTGTCAAGTACTACTTGGACGGCGACTCTGGCGAGGCTCAACATCCTGAGTTCGAGGAGTATCGAGTGTCTCGAGGCCTTTGTAAAACTGATGAAAATGACGGAAAACATGCCTGGTGACCACGATTTGGCTAGGCGTGAATAACTTATTTGTATGTCTAATTATAGTAAAGTAGAACATGTATAACCTGGAGTGCTTATAAAAAAAAAAAAAAAAAAAAAAAATCCTTGTTGGTGCCTTCGGTTACTATATAGTTTGTAGCAAATTTCGTACAACGACTACGGTGGATGCTTCACAAAGAAAAAAAGAAAAGAAATCTTAACACTTTGTAATAATGACTGCAATCACAGGAAAACCTTTATTAAATAACCTAAGATAAGTAAGAAATATTAAAATGTGTTATACATCATAAAAAGGCGAAAACGCAAATGCTACTGTTGCTGATAATAATGATAGTGGTAGTAACATTGAAGTCATCAAATAATATAACGACAATGTTGTTAAGGATGGTAGTGATAATAATGAAAACTCATGAGAGTAACACTAATAATAATCGAACAATATCACTTTAACTATGACTCTTAAGGACTACTATTCATGTAGAATTCTTGTAGCCAGATTAAGCATTATACCCTTAAATACTTTCAGAGTGAGAATTAAGAATTAAAACAATTCGCTATATAAGTTATACCATCAAAGGCGATTTATAAACAACTTACATTTGCTGTACATTCACGCACATAAATATACCTAACTTACCTAAATCGCAAACTGTCGCCTTATAAGGAGTGTAATTTCATCTTTTCATTTCATTCATTTATTGCATTATTTCATAAAGGTTAACATGAAAATAGGAACAGTGACGAAGATAATGATAGTGAAAAATAATAACAGTACCAGCAAACAATAAAATGATGGTAATAGTAATGATAATGATAATAATAATAATGATAATAATAGTGACAACACAAGTACTAATATATGATAATAATATAACAAAAACGAATAGTGACAATAGTGATGATAATAATATACAATAACATAACAATAAAAAAGGATGACAACAGAAGTTAATAATGCTAATGAAAATAGAAAATACTGATAATGATAACAATGGTTGAAATAATAGTAATAGTGATAATAACAATGGTGATAATAATGATAAAGATACATATGGCAATAATGATAATGATAATTATGATAATGATAATGTTAATCACAATAATGATGATAATAATAGCAATAATAACAATCACAATTAATATGGTAAAGAAAAAAAATGATATTGACAACACGATGATAATAATAATGATAGTGATTATGATAACAATAACAACAACAATGATAGTAGTAATAATGATTACAATAATGATAAAATGAACGAAAAGAATAATAGTAATAAACTAATATATAGAAAGTGAAGATAGTAATAACAGTGATAATGATGACGATTGTTATAAAGATGATGATAATATCGATAATAATAGCATGAGTTAAAATACATGAGACGTCCACCTCCTCCTCATAATCATCATCATCATCCTTATTATCACCTCATGAATATGACCAGTTGCATAATAATTGTCACTATCACCCTTACTACAGGCATCTAAACGACCAGTATTAATGTAACGATTAATCTTAAAAATAGCTGTGCATGAATACGTTGGCAATGAGAATTATGATGATGATAACGATAGTGATGATACTAGTAATGGTAATGGTAATGATAATGATCGTGATAATGATGTTGATGATGGCAGTAATAACAGAAACAACAATAATTATGATAATGATGATAATAATGATAATAAAAATGACTTTGTTATTATTATTATTTATTATTATTATTACTACTACTACTATTATTATTATCAAAAGTAGCAACAGTATTGTTGTTGTTATTACTATTATTATTATTATTATTATTATTAGCAATAGCACAACAGTATTGTCATTATTCTTATTACTATTGTTATTACAACTTTATTGTTATTATCATTAATATTATCATTATTATTATCATTATTATAAATGTTAATACATAGTACATTACTAATACAACAATGTTATTGATATAAATAACAAGACAAACAATAATGGTAGCAACCATATTGATAAAGTAAATAATTGTGATAGTGATAATCATGATAGATGAAATATTTATACTGTCCTAACGATAATGATCATAATGATAGAACATGTGCTAAAATGACAACAGTAACGATGAATAACGAGAACAATACTAATAAAACCAAGAACGGAAGTAGACATCCATGCTTTAGACGTTTAAACTAGCATGAAAACGAAGCAAAAAGATCGATTCAGCTGTTGCAACATCTTCGCCTACTTTCCTTGAAGGGACTTCATGCTTCGTGCGACAACTTCCTCCCGCGCTTGGCAACACTTCCCGCTTGGAAACTCTGCAAAAAAATAGACTTCCTCTGTTTTGAAACACCCTGACGCCTCCCGTTCGTATTTTGTTTTTAACTTTTTGCCATTTCTGATGTCGTCGTTTGTCTTTTGTTGTTCTTCCTGTTGGGTCGAATTTATTTTGCGGTTTGTTGTATGTTTAGAATTACTGTGTTTTTCCTTGTTACTATTTGGTTTGGGTTTGACTATGTTTTTTTTTTCTGGGTGTGTTTTTAGGATAAGGATTTAATATTTACATGTGGCACTGCAGGATATGACACAGCGAATAGAAAATGTCAAGAAAATTCTAAACGCTTTGGAATAAACGTAAAAACAAAAGCACACTTAACATGCTGAATATTATATAAGGGAAATCCAGAGCAAGAAACAGATAAGGAACATGAACAAGGAAAAAGGAACTAACGTATCTGGAACATTGGAAAGACGGTCACGACGAAGGAGTAATTGCACAGGAATTTCACCTTGTCTCTCTCGCTGTTGCACGAGGTCAGACGCGAGGAGATAAATTCAGAATGGCCATTTTGTCACCTGATAATTAAGACGTTGGTAATCCGACGCCGCGTGTGAAATGCTCGGCGCTTTGGAAACGCAGAGAGAAATTTGGTTAAGCGTTGAGAAATCTCGGTAGTTTCTCCTTCGTCTGTCACATCTCGGGCTGACCTTTCCCTTAGCTTTCGGGTGACATTGACATTTTGATTTGTCCCTTTCGGATTGAGAATTCATTTTATCAAAGCAAAGCTCATGCATCTGTATATTGCCAATGATGCATCTATGAATGTACTACCACATCTATATTTAGCCATTTGTATACCAACACCAAGCCACTGATACAACTACATCTAGGTATTCTTACGTTTATATCTAGTATTTAATATGTCTACATCTAGCCACTGACATTTTTATATATAGCCATTAATATGTCTATTTCTAGCCACCGGTATGTCTACATACAGACGAATACTTTTCTATCTATCCATTAATAGTCCACAACTAGCCACTTTCACATCCACATCTAGCCACTACTTACTAGTTTATATATGGTCATTAATACATCTGTTTCTACTTACTGGTACGTCTACATCTGGCTATGATAATTCTACTTCAAGCCATTAATACTTCTCTGCCCAGCTGTCATATGCTTACATCTATCCAATATTATGTCTGCAACTAACTAGTGATATGTCTACATTTAACCAACTTATTTATCTACATCTAGCAGTTGCTATGTCTACATCTAGCCATTAATACGTATATCTAGTCACTGACAAGTCTACATCTAACGTCTGGTATGCCTATATCTAGCCATTGATGCCGTTTTGTGTAGTTGCTGATATTATTCTACATCTGGATACACAGATATATAACCACTTATAAGTCTATATCTAGGCTTGACTGCGTCTGTATCTAACCTATTATGGTTTTCGTCCAGCCAATGACATAACTTTATCTTGCTACAATATGTCTACATCTAGCCACATATATGTTATATATACAGCCAGCGATACGGAAACATCTTTACATTAATGCACCTACATCTAGCTATTAATATGTCTACATCGATACTCATACATTAATCAATTGCAATATCTACATCTAGTCACTGAATATCTACATCTAGATAGTGATACGTTTACAGTTAGTCCTTAATACGTCTGTAACCATATATGTCTACATGTAGCCACTAATATGCCTATATGTAGTCAGTGATACATTTTTGTCTAGTCACTGGTACGAATCTACTACCAACCATCGATTCATCTATTTTCTCTCACGCCTTGATCCATATCACTACTGAATGAAAAAAAAAATCGACATCGTGCCACGAGGAAATTCTCTCGGGGAAGTTACCAGCGACTCAGCGTCCCCGTTTTTCTCGCGTCCGAAGTCCAGGAACGAAAAAAAGAGAGCAGGTAGTGGCGGACGGGCGTTCAGACGTGACGTCACGACCTCGAATACATATATATATACTGAGTCCGATTTTTGGGTATCGGTAGTGTGAAGCGATCATCACCTAAGGAAAG